CTCTCTCTCTCTCTCTCTCTCTCTCTGCCTCTCTTGTATTTTAGGGGAGGGTCTACAGGGTGTTCAGGGTCTCACTACTAGATCGGACTCATAGTGATCAGCCTGTTTACAGCCTCCCAAGAGCTGGGATTACAGGAACTCACCACCACGCCCAGTCTCAATTGCCATCTCAGTGCGCACCAGAGGAGGGGCCAGCACGGCAGGCCTGGGGATCGAACCCCCGGCCCCTGTGTCTGCTTGCAGGCTCTCTGGACCACAGCTTTAAAAGAAACAAAATCATAACAATTTCTGACCTTGTGTGATTTCTCAGTGTGTTAAAGTCCAGAAACTTGAAATGTCAACTCTTTTTCTTTTTTCTTTAGTTTTTTCTAAGACACTGTATTACAGTTTTGATAAATATGTCATAACGTTGCCATGATAAAAGTTACTCTTAAGAGGCTGAACAAAGAAATCCACTAATGAATAACTATAAGGATTGAAAATAAAGTACAGTGTGAATCTTTGTGTAAGACTCTCCTAGGTGTTCTGATAAAAGTAATGTGTAGTTAAGAGATATCTCACGTGGATTACCAATTTTCAACTTGAAGCAAAATACAATAAGACATTCTAGAGGTAAACTACTTTACATGTAATTAGGTCTTTGGTAATTTTGGGAGCACTGATGAATCTAGTGGTACCTTTAGATGATTATCAATTAATTCAACTACTTACCAAGAAATGAAAGGGTCTATAGCATATGAAAAGGAGATAAGGCCAAGGCAGACAGGCATTTATTATACCTGTTCAGTACTTTACAAACTTTTTTTGTATATTGAAATTTTTGTGACTGAATCAAAAGTGAAACAAAGACACTGATATTTTGGCTAAAAAGATTAAGGTGTATTTCAAAACTTGGCTAGTAAACTAACAAAGTGACACAAATATATGAAAATTGATCCAGAGATTAAAGTGCATGGATGAAGATATAAAAATATTATACAGTACCCTATTATATTCTTCACTAGATTCTATATAAACTTAGTCTTTATATTAATTATGGCCAAAGTGACCCTTTCCATCTCTGTATTACTGTGTTTCCATGGGAACAGATAACAATATGCTTAACTTCTTTGAATAAATAATCTGGCAAATGCCTTGAAATCTCTCTTACCAGCCTGAGCCAGCCACTGAAAAATAATTAGCAATACATGCAAACTGTAAGTTATTTCAGGTTATATCCCAGTAAGCCAATGGTATGTTAAATATCTTTTTTCATG